TGGTTTAAGCCTTTAATCTTGAACCAGAACGAAATCGAGAATATAAATTCCCATTATATCATTCTGAAACTTAAACTATCAAAACACCAAATCAATCCTTGCACGAAGCAAGGATGTGGTACCTTCATCCCATTATGTAGAAAATTGCATTACAAAATATGCAGATTTGAGCCAGTTTGTAGAGGATGTAATTTCCTACAAAGTGAGATGACGGTACCACAAATTAATGGGATTTCCTACAGAATGAGATGAAGGTACCGCAAAGGCTTCGAAATACAGCTTTACCGTGATCCATGGGAACAGCCCTTTTCCAACAAAAACTACAGCGTGAAAGTGAAAAGAACGCACTTTAATTGTCAAAGATCGCTGTCAGCAGGCTTCGCAGTACAAAAACTCCTTTTCCTGTAGTTTAGATGATGAGGAATCCACTCCACTACTCGGTTCACGCCGTTATAAATCTACCAAAACATATGCTTAGTTGAAGTGAAATAGTCATGTGAAACGTGCTGATCAAAGAATTTGCGATATTGTAAATGTTTCAAAAATGCAACGAAAACGTATCCAGAAAAACAGTATTAATAAAAAAATAGCGGTTTTTAATACACTTTTATAGGGATGGTTCTGATCTTTTCTCTGATGAAAACAAAATATAGAACTTTACCAAAGTATGAAGTGAAATACGCCGTTATTCACTTTTTAAGGTGGTAACAGTAAAACAAGACTTAAAGTAAACAAAAGTACATGAAAAACAGAACGCTTCTTTCTCGTGGTTCCATGACAAAATCTTGTTTTCTGTAGTCCTAGAGATAGTGAAATGCCTCGTTAACTGCACATTTAATGTGATTAATTGAATTTATGCGTAACGTATTGAGATGTTGCTAATAAAATGTTAATTTTCTCTTCAATAAGGAATTTATCAGAAGTTGACTCCTTCCTGTGCTTGATTGATTGATTCGAAAAAAGGTAAACAGACTCTCTAAAAACATTGATGATAAAGAGATAAAAATCTTAAACTCTGTTTTTTCTTCTTATACCTCGAACACGTTCATTCAGTTCATTTTAAATATGCACATAAAAATAAAGCGAAGATAGTTTCAGAAGCACAAGTTGTTTCATTCTGATCATTCTCATTTTACTTTTATTTAATAAAAAATTAGAAACTTTTAAATTTATTAATTTTATCCGAAAAAAATCATGGAAGGACAAGTAAATAAATTAAATCTTTTTTAATGGAGAGGGCGATTAATTTACAAAAACAGACTAGTGCGTTTTTCACAAGGGGCTGGAACATATGAAGAGATTAATTTTCTCAGGACAAAATAACATCTTAACGACAAAAATTTTCCTTTCTACAGAAACAATAAAAAATCTTTTTCTTATTTAGAGAGCAAGGTATTGTTCTTTGTGCCAGCTACATTATAAACAAAATAATGACTTATGTGCCGAATGTGACAAATTGAATAGAAATGCATTTTCGAAACAAGTCTGACAAAATTTCAAGATGTACAACATAACTGGAGAGACTGGAGAAGTTAGCAGGAACACTGCAGTCAGCATTAGCTAAGTGGTCATTTGAATTCACTCCTTATGAATATTGGGATTCAACCAAATGGGAGTTTGATGACCTTGCCCAAGAATACTATGAATTATGTCGAAATAATATTGAGCAAACCGGTGCTCGATTACTGCCAGCCGATGTAAATTTCTTGGCAGCTTTCACAACTGGAGATGGCAACTGTTTGTACAATAGTATTGCCGAGTTAGTAAAGAAATCAAATGAAGAATGGGTTCGAGAACTCAAAGTTCGAAATTTAATCGAATTGATAATCAATTTCACTTATTATAAAAACACCTATGCTGATATTGATGACAATCTCAAGCAGTATATTACTGAAGTTATGATGTTTCTTGATGCGAGAAGCGAGCCATGGGACAGTTTTGGCTTGTGCAATGTATTAGATTGCAGCATTCGATCAATTCATCCAATTCTCGATGCAATGTCTGAAAGAGGAGAAGCGGGTAACACTCAACCACTTCAAATGAATCATGTTTTTCATCCACGTAGACCGGCACGAAACATCACAATCAATATTTTATGGTGTAGCGGTATGTCGGTTGATATCCGGAGAGCACAAGTTCAGATGGGAATGAGAACTGAATTTTGGGCACCGACTCATTTCGTACCATTATCAATCGATCCATTTGTAAGTGAACCGGATAAATCAATCGATTTTTTTTTTAAATTTATTTAATTCAAAGATTCAACCGGCCCCACCCCCATCATTACAAGCACAATAACAGAATCGACAACTTGCTACAAGCTCTTCTATAACATTTGATTTTGAAGTAATAAATTATCAGTATAATTAAAACAGACAAGAGTTTGATTTAAACTGTATTTTTTATAGGATGATATATCAGCTCAAAGGGTGGAAAGTGAAAGAGATGATTTAAGACGATTTCGTGATATCGAAAGCCGAGTAAGAGATCTATCCAAAACCATAAAGCTTGTTTATAAACGAAAATAATCATTCTATTTATAGTTTGGTGATGATGATAATAGCGGAAACAAAGAAAATGATTTTAATTTGGAAAAAAATGCACAACTGGCTCGAACATCTGTACAAAAGAAAAAAATCAGACGAGTACATATATTTTCAGAAAAAGCAACAACTTTCTTATTTCGTATGATTTTTCAATAGCTTTTTTATTTAAGAAACCTCCATTATTTAAAGACCCCAAACGTGCAGCAGTCTTTGTGAACAAACTTCGAGACGCGTTTACAAAAACCACAAGAAGTAAGAAGAATCATCTTTAAAAACTGAATTTAAGGGAGAACCTCCTTAAAGTAAACAAAGGTCTGTGTCATAAAAATCTTAGCTTTTTATCTTCAGGAACAAAAAGCAGTCAGACGAAAATCCAAAGCTAGTAATCGATTGATACGACGTTTGACATTTGATATTAAAGCATTCATTCAATACGATCCGTATTTAAAAGATGCCACTTTGGAAACAAGATTAAATATTAATGTTAAAAGTATATTGATAGAAATTGGCGATTTGTATCTGAAGAAATCGAAAAAGAAATCAAACTACGTTTACATGCCACAGCAGCGGCTGCTGACCGACAACATAAGAAATCTCATTCGAAACGAATGTCATGTTTCGGCAACGATCAAATAACTTTTCTTCTTCCAGTATTAACAAAAAGAACACCTGATTCTGCAACGGATGCTCGTGATTATGTATTTAATCCAAATAAAGATAAACCAGACTTATTAGTAGCACCAACAGCATCATTAGTTAAACATCTAACTCCAGGATCAACTGATCATATAAAAATCAATAATATACTACTGACATTAAGTATCATGCCAATGCCAAATGAACATTCATCGTCCGTTTCGGCTTCACACTGGGCATACCTTTTGCCATTACACTAAAACAGAACAAAAAAATAATAAATATATGTTTACACAAAAGTTAGAGAAGATGTCTTTCATCTACTTACTATTTTCCATCAATGCATATCTTTGGTTCATCATTATTATCTTTTCCCGTATAAACATGAAACGGCAAATTCATTATCTTTACATTTTTCAGCATACAGCCAGACATTAGGCAGAAAATCGAAGTTTTTCCTTTTTCAGATAGGAATAGGGCAAAATGTAGCTCTTTCAAAGGGCTGTCGAACGGTATATAAATGTCTATTGTGAAAATGGATCCTTCGACCAGAAAATAGTATACAAAAAACATGAACAAATACGACATCTATACACAAAAATACGATTTTTCACTTTCAGAGCTATGTTATACAATTTTAAAGCACATATTCGGAATCAGCATGTCTTAAGCTATCTTTTCACAATAAAATGTTGCTACTTTAACACAAACTTCACCAAGTAAGAGCTCAAGATTCTTGATCATCTCATCACGGAATGACACTATCTCAGTATAGTCGAGTTCCACATTTTTCCACACCTCCACG